AAAAAAAAAAAAAAAAAAAGAGCTTAGATGTTAGAAGGGGTGTTCTTTCATCTTTCTAGCCCTGACTCTCTTGGATATGTTGTGTTGATTTTTTTTGTTTGTTTGTTTGTTTTTAATTCCAGATGTCTTCAAAGGATTCATATAACAAAAAGAAAGGACAGAGTTGAGGTGTGAGGCAGACAAGTTAGGGGTTGCACACTGAGGAAGAACACACTCGGTCTTGCAAAAACCAAACTGGTCGCTTATTAAACCAATTAAATAGTTACTGACCACCCTCTGGACGCTAGACACCAGTGTTCTAGGTACTTGAGATATACCTTTTTATTCAAATGACTACAACAAAAAAAAGCAAACAAAAACAGACACAGAAACTCTTCCCTTACTAAATTTACACATTAGTGAAAAGAAACAATAATAATAAATGTAAGAAATAAGTACATTATAAGCTATGCAGTATGTTAGAAGGTGATTAGTTACTATAAAAAAAAGAATATAGAGTAAAGCAGGCTAAAGGGAGGCAGGAATGGACATGGGAGCCAGGTTGCAGTTTTACATTAGGGTGATCAGGGCAGACCTTCTTGAGAAGGTAAAATCCAAGCAAGGCCTTGAAGGAGGGAGTTAGTCATGCAAATATATCTAGGGCAAGAGAGAACATCCAGGGCAAAGGCATTAACATGGGGGTATGCAGGAATGTTCTAGCATCAGCATGCAAGTCAATGTGGTAAAACCCAGAGAGAATGGAGCAGGGAAGGACAGGGAGCAGGGAAGGACACCAGAGGCCAGATCATGTGGGGCCTTGTAGTTGAGGGCTTTGGTTTTTGTGAATGAAGTTAATTTACTCTCCATATTAATTTCCTTTGTTATCCAAGAGCCTTAGTCTTCTAAATGTTTCAACCATCTCTACCCACCATGGGAAATGAATGGAAGTATATCTAAGCTTGAGTAAGTGCAAGAATAAAGTAAGCCACAATTAGCAGCATCCCCTTACCCCAACCTTGTCAGCCCGTGGTGGGGTCAATGGGAATGTCAAAGAGAACCATGACAGATTACGAATTTAAGGAGCTGTCCAGACTTCAAGATGTATTACAAAGCTGTAATTATCAAGATAGTATGGTACTGGCACGAATTTAAGGAGCTGAGGTTGTATGTGAGGTCCAGATATCTCTGTGCATACAGAAATTTTGCCTGCATTATCAACTTTGAAAAATATGAATTTACTTCTTAAGGAAGCTGTGTGTGATTTTTAAGAATATAAATTTATTATTTTGTTTGAAGAATTCATAACTACTAAATATCAAATAAGACTTAAACACAAAATAATTCCCTAAACAAAATACAATAAATGATTATCCAAAAGAGATGGATGGATAATGTCGCATTTATATGATATTTTAGGTAACTCAAGTTACTAGATATACAATGAATTAGATTAAAATGATATTAAAACAAATTCAATTGTCCTCTGAAAAATGTATGATGCATTTCAAGATCCACCATGCTTCAAACCTGACCATAAACGAAAACAATTACCATGAGGGAACAAATGCCCACATTATGCTTATGTGCATCATTTATTCTATAAATATTAATTATACACCTTGTACAGAGCAGCACACAAATATCCACAATCCCTAGCCCTCCTATACCTTACAACAAGAAACAGGTTGCTGTCCTTCCTTCTGTATTACACAGGTTGCATCTTAACGTTTTCTCTCCATTCTTGTCTGTCAGCCTAAAAAAACCTTCCAAGTAATTGCTATTACATATTTTGAAACACTGCTCTTAAAGCTAGCTACCAAAGATATTTGCTTTTTACTTTAAAAGCTTTCCTTTCTAGGGGCACCTGGGTGGCTCAGTCGGTTAAGTGTCTGACTCTTGGTTTCAGCTCAGGTCGTGATGTCACGGCTGGTGAGTTCAAGCCCTACACTGGGATCCGCGCTAAGAGTGTGGGGCCTGCTTGGGATTCTCTCTCTGTCTCTCTCTCTCTCTCTCTCTCTCTCTACCCCTTCCTGCTTGTGCTCTCTAAATAAATAAATAAGTAAACTTAAAAAAAAATGCTTTCCTTTCTTACTAAAATACTAGGTTCAAACAAAAAAAGTCCTTCAAACATACAAATCACTTTGGAAAATTATAATTATGCTGAGACTGGCACAAAATAAGCCTCTCTAGATTTCTTTTTTACTTTGACTACTGTTGAAAGTAGTTAATTTTTTAGATCATTATGCTATATACTTGAAAACATGACTTTAATTAAATACTTGAGGTCATTACAGTCTTAATGAATAAACATAACATTAGCAGTACAAATAAAAATCAGCATGAATTACTGCAATCTCTGATAACAAAACATTGAATTTATACTTTCAGAATAGAATGGATTTAAAAGGTTAACATTCACCTAACACTCAAAATCCTATGCAACGTTTTAAAACATGAAGATGTACAATCTAACACATGTTAAAATGTACATGTCATTACACCTGCTTAAAGTATGGTAAATTATCACTGGGAACAGTTGGCTGTGGTACAAAAATGGAAGACATTCTATGTCTTTTAATCTTATGATTACTGATCAAGTACATTAATCCTTCAATTGAAAAAAAAAACCAGTATACAGTGTTCTTAGGGTCATAGCATCTGGAAAAGTTGACACTAGCAAAAAAACAATCATTTAGTCATTTGATCAGACAGTAATTCAATAAAAGTACATAAGGCATTAGACATTACAGACACAAAAATGCCTGAGACATGGTTTTCTATCTCAGTGTACTCATCTTCTAATGAGAGTGACTAAAACATAAACAAATATTAGCACATTGTGACACTATGACAGTTGAATATGCACATCTATATATGCAAGACGTTTAAGTAATACAGGGCAAGATGATTTTAGCCTAGAGATACAGATACAGAAGATCAGGGAAGCTTTTTACACAAGGCAATGCCTCAGCTAAGTTGTTAAAGTGGAGAAGTTTGCCAAGCAAGGGAAAGGTGCAAACAGAAGGAGGGAGAATGAAGAGATTCCAGACTGAGAACACTGCCTGGGAAGATACCATACCAAGGAGGGGAGAACTGGCAGGATGTCGAGTTGCTAAACCCAGGGGTTAAGAGCACACCTCAGTAGAGCCGTATTAAACAAAAGGAGACCATGCTTGCTAGAGGCTCATCATACATAATCACGACTCACTACAACTACACATTGAGTGTAAAGGAA